CCGCACTTTTATTACTGGTTAGTGCAGTGAACTGTTTTGAATACGTTCTCCATGATACTTGCGTTAACTGGGGCAGTTTCTTTTGTATTCACCTGCGCTGTAATTTAATGAACGATCCTTGGCAAACAGCCAGGCGGCAGAAAGTGACCCTAACGGGTGCTGAGCACTTTAAGTGGCTCCTGATGTGACGTGAACCAGCCTGAACATCTCGGGATAGTTAAGAAGGTTACTGGAAATATCTTCATTCCATGTAAATGTAATCCTTTGAGTAGTGAAATAATTCAGATTTGAATACGTTTTAGGTGTGTAATGAAAGCAAACCGGGTGGGAGTGGGGAGGGAGGGCAGGGCAAGATGCCTCCCGGCGGGGAGACAGCACCCAGGGCCCAGCGGGGCGAGCTGGGACCTCCCTCTTGTGTGTGTGTTTGTTCTAGAAGAGAGACCTTTATTATCCAGCAGCCTCCAACTCTTTGGTTGAGTGTTCGTAATGAAGTTCAAGCATTTAAGGCTTTCATTTTGTAATTTGTTTAATTAAGGAAAAGTGAGGTTTTTTTTTAAATAAAAGCTTTATGCTTTTTTCTTTTCTCATCGAATTATGATTATTGACAGACTGGTTTACGTAAAGGCCCCTCTTAGGAAGTTCTGGGAGTCGGGGGGCCCTTTCTGTCCTGCACCCTGTGTCCTCCAGACCCTTGAGAAGACTGTGTTCATGCACCACTGGTCAGACCCGCCTCACTCTGCCTTTTCACCCAGAACCCCCAGTGCCCCCCAGGGTCTGTGCCACACTGTGCAGTTGGAGCCTCGGACTCGGGCCACCCAGGAGCAGGGGCTGAGTCCCGGGGGCAGCTGCTGGGGAGGCCCCCAGACCTGCTCCACCGATTGCTAGGATTTGTTTTTTAAATCTTGGGATTACCTTCCTGCCAACCAATGTTAGTGCAGCCATGGGCTCAGCTCTCTCTTTCTCTTCTAAGTTGATTTTTAACTTTTTAACTAGTCTTTACGCCCAATATGGGGCTCAAACTCACAACCCCGAGATCAAGAGTTGCACGCTCTTCCAACTGAGCCAGCCAGGCGCCCCATCTCTTAAATTGTAGACACACACAATACTCTTCTAACTGGGGCGGGAAATGCAGGGATCGGTCCATTAAACCTCCCTGGAGGTCGGACAGCCTGGGAGAGTCCTGGGAGCTGGGGAGGCCTGGGGGCCCATCGCAGGGGCATCACGGACTCCTTGCGGGCGTGGCTTCATGACACACGTCTGTGCTCCACACGGCATCTCATGGTCCCCACCAGCCTCACGCCTCGTGCTTTGTCCGCCGTACTTGGTGGTTTCTCTTTAACAGGCAAACACGTTCTTCCCCGGATGCTAGGTCCTCGTCCTCCCACAGGTACAGGGGCTACAATGCAGGGCCCACAGGACACGTGTTCACGCTGGCGGGGGTGGGCCAGGGCCTGGGGCGCCTCGTCTGTCTGGGAGGGTCTGGCGAGGTTGCCCCTGTCCTTAGGACGATGGCGCCTCAAGGTCAGAGCTGCTCGGGGAGGAGACAGGCCGCACGCCTCACAGCTGCTGCTTGGACGCCCCCGCAGACAAGGCAGAGCCCCTCGTGCCTGTGGGCTCTTTGGGGGCCCCCGGGGTGTGTCGTCCACCCCGAAAGCCAAAGGGGAGCTGAGCCCACAGCAGAGCGGCACCGTGGTTCTCTCTCTGTGGGCCCAGGAAAGTGTGTGTGGCCAGCACAGGGTGACAGCCGCCCTGGCGGAGGTGGCCCCCGGGGGTGCTGGGGGCAGACACGGAGCAGGAGGGGCTGGGCTGGGATGTCGGCCAGAAAGGGGTGTGCAGCCTGCACCAGCCGCTGTTGGGAAAACGGGGGTTCGAGATGCCTTAGCGCACATGGCGGCCCAGAAGGCGGGAGTTGGTGGCCAGTCGTGAGCCAGATGCCAGGGATGGAGGGAGGCGAACATCTCTTTAACTCAGCTCTAATTACACATCGACGTGATAAAGTTATCTGTTGAAGTCAACGTCCTAAATTCTGGCTTCTGAGTGTGTAAAACAAACTCACTCACTTCATTAATATCCTCGGTATTGGCCCCGTGATGACAGGATGTGCCCCTCACACTCAGCCCGTCGCTCCCTGTGCCGGTCGGATCGGTCACGTCTGTAGGGGTGTGCACTGTACCTGTACATACATGTGTGCTTGTGCGGGGAGGACGTGCGTGGAGACGTGTGTATGAGTGGAACTACGTTTATGTACGGTCGTGCACTAACGTGCTCAAGGCTGGAAATGAGGAACTCTTGGTGGAGGCGAATCTCTCCGACGCCTTTCAATGAGGGAATGGTGATTAGCGTTCATGCCCCTGCAGCTCCTGACGGGTCCCGTGTGTGGGGCAGACCCTCCCGAGGGTCGGCCTGCCTTCTGCGGGGCCTGCCCCCCCTGTGCCCCCGCTGCCCAGGTCCCTCTGGACGACGCCCCATCAGGCGCCTGTGTGGTGGTCCGTCAGGTGCGCGGGTGGGGAAGTGTTGAAAGCAGATGTGCGCAGGTGGCCCCGTGGCCCCCAGGCCACCTGTTCCTGAGGAACCTTGACCTTCTCTGTGAAGTGCCTCTCCTGGGTTTTTAACTCCTTGTTTGATTTTTACAAAGCCTGTAATTTTATTTTTATTTTTATTTTTTTAAGATTTTATTTATTTATTTGAGAGAGAGAATGAGATAGAGCATGAGAGGGGGGAGGGTCAGAGGGAGAAGCAGACTCCCTGCTCAGCAGGGAACCCGATGCGGGACTCGATCCCGGGACTCCAGGACCATGACCCGAGCCGAAGGCGGTCGCTTAACCGACTGAGCCACCCAGGCGCCCAAGACTGTAATTTTAAACTTTCGACGGCGGTGTATGTGTTCAGGCTGTCCGTAAGCATGTGAGGGTGTGACTGGAGTACCGCAAGCGCCGGTGAGCGTGGGACATGGTCCCAGGGCTGGCGGCATGGGGGCAGGTGGTGGGAGGCCCGGCGCCCCGCCTCCCACGAGGGCCTGCTGCTTTCCTCGCGCCCCCTTGTCGGGGTTCCTGCTTGCTCCACGCTCCGTGGGAGCAGATGGGGGACCACCACTGGAGATAGGCAGCTGGGTCGCTGGGTGCATGAGCTCGAGGGCTTATCCAGGCCCAGCCGTCCTGAGGGGACCACTTCCTGTCCCTCGAAGCTTCTGGTCTGCTCCCTCTTTGGCAGGACTCTCTCCCCCAGGGCATTTTGGCACAGACGCTGAGCATCTGGAACTCTGATGCTCTCTTGGAAAGGGGGCGGGCCTGTGTGCTCCCCCCAGGCCACCTGTGAGGGGCCTGGAGGAACACGGGCAAACAGGTTTTCCTGGGGGCTTTCCGAGCAGCAGAAGCAAGAACTTCTTGATAGCAGGGACTGTGAGAACCTGATTGCCAGAAGGAGCGGCTGAATGGCTCCTTCTGGAAGTAAGCGACAGCAGACGTGGACGCCGGTCTGTTTGGGGCGCGAGACCCGTTTCTGTCCGTAAACGCGGTGGGGTTTGAGCCAGTGCCCTGAGACCCTTGATTTCCCGCGGCTGGTCCGTGTGGGTCTCTGGTCGTGGCACCGCGGAAGGGAGCCCTGTCACGGAACCACGTACCTTCAGGGCAGTGTGCTGGGTGTCGGGTTTCCATGTGCGCTTCCATTATTTAGAGACTTGGAACACTCTTCTCTAGGTGCACGGTAATGAGGTACCAAGATGTTGTAAAATGTCTTTGCAAATAGGAAATCCAGAAATGTGTTTTTTTTGTTAAAAATTACTAATTATGCTGGTAATGATTTTTAAAATATAGCTTATTGAGGTTATAATTAACATATAATGATTCTTAAATCTAGCTGTGCATCAATGTTCTCTGCTTTTTTTTGAAACAGGGATTCCTAGGCCATGAACTGCCATCAGAATTTACATGAGAGAGACCCCAGAATCTGTTCCTATCTGATCCTTGAGGTGTTTTCTTTGTAGCTACTGATTAGGGCACCTTGACAGTGATTAGCTTATTAAATCTCTGTAATTGTCCAGGTTCCTATAGGTAAAACCCACCCATTCATCCATCCACCCACCCATCCCATCCACCCATCCATCCCATCCACCCATCCATCCCTCCACCCATCCATCCCATCCACATTTCCATCCCTCCACCCACCCACCCATCCATCCACCCATCCCTCCATCCACCCACCCACCCACCCACCCACCCATGTATTCTTCCACCCATCCACCCATGCATCCCTCCATGCACCCATCCACCCATTTATCCACCCATCCCTCCACCCATCCCTCCACCCATCCACCCATCCATCTGTCCATCCATCCCTCCATCCACCCATCCATCCATCCCTCCATCCACCCATCCATCCATCCCTCCACCCACCCATCCATCCATCCTTCCACCCACCCACCCACCCATCCATCCATCTGTTTAACAAATTGGGGACCTTTTATGTGCCAGGGCACAGTCTTAGGCTCTGAAGACAGCCATGAAGCAAAGTCAACTAAGGCAGGCAAAGGTTCCTGCCCTCACAGAACTTATTTTCTTCTGGTAAAAGAGAAGATGGACAAGATGATGCTAAGTGTTGAGGAAGAGATAAGCTGGGGAGGATGACACATGGGTTGGGTTGGGGACTGAAATCTGGGAAGGTGGCTGGGGAAGGCAGTCTTTGAGTGAAGAGAAGAGGGAAGGAAGGAGGGGGGTGGTTCTCTAATGGCAGGACACTTGGGGCAGAGGGAAGCCAATGGAAGCCTGAGGGTGGTCGGAGGGGCAGTCGGTGCCCTTGTGCTGGAGAGCAGGGAAGGGAGGATGGGTACGGGCCTTGTGGGCCGGGGGGGGCCCTTGGGAGCAGTACGAGCCGAGCGGCGTTTCAGCGGCTGTGTCCTGGGGTCCAGGCCTGGGCGTGTGCGGTGCCGAAGGGCTCACCAAGCTGTGGGTGTATTTTCTGATGACTGGCCCCTCACGCCATCTTCTTCTCTGTCCCCTTTCTAGAGCACTATAGTTACGCGACCTCTAGCATCAGCTCTGCTCTGCCTCCCGGCTCGGCTCGCCCCTCGCTGCCAGCTCCATGCCACGACCTGCAGACCTCAGCGCCAGGCATGCCGGCCGCTGCAGCAAGTCAGCCCCCGGGCTATGGGGGGGCAGTGGACAGCAGGCCCTCGAGCTGCTTCCTCTCCTCCGGCCACGTCCGGCCCAACGGGGCCCCCGCCCTGGAGAGTCCTCGCATCGAGATCACCTCGTACCTGGGACTGCACCACGGCAGCAACCAGTTTTTCCACGACACGGAGGTAGAAGACGTCCCTCCCGGCTCCCAGCGACCCCCGTGCACGGCCACGCTGGGTCTGCCCGGCCTGGAGGCCTACCGCGACCCCTCCTGTCTGAGCCCGGCCAGCAGCCTGTCGTCCCGTAGCTGCAACTCCGAGGCCTCGTCCTTCGAGTCCGGCTTCTCGTACCCCTACGCGTCCCCGCAGACGTCCCCGTGGCAGTCGCCCTGTGTGTCCCCCAAGGCCACGGACCCCGAGGACGGCTTCCCCCGTGGCCTGGGGGCCTGCGGCCTGCTCGGCTCCCCCAGACACTCGCCCTGCACCTCGCCCCGCGCAAGCGTCACGGAGGAGAGCTGGCTGGGGGCCCGCACGTCCCGGCCCCCGTCCCCCTGCAACAAGAGGAAGTACGGCCTCAACGGCCGGCAGCTGGCCGGCTCCCCGCACGCCTCGCCCACGCCGTCCCCGCGCGGCTCGCCGCGGGTCAGCGTCACCGACGACACCTGGCTGGGCAACAGCACTCAGTACACCAGCTCCGCCATCGTGGCCGCCATCAACGCCCTCAGCACCGACAGCAGCCTGGAGCTGGACGGCGTCCCCGTGAAGGCGCGCAAGACCGCCCCGGACCACTGTCCCTCCGTGGCGCTCAAGGTGGAGCCGGCGGGCGAGGCCCTGGGGGCCACGCCGCCCCCGTCCGAGTTCCTGCCCGAGGAGTTCCTGTCCTTCCAGCACATCCGGAAGGGGGCCTTCTGCGACCAGTACCTGTCGGTCCCGCAGCATCCGTACCAGTGGGCCAGGCCCCGGTCCCCGGCAGCCCACGGCAGGTGAGCGAGCGCGTGCCCCGGGGCCCCTTGCTCCTGAGGCCTCTCCCGCTCGGGCTGGCCGCCTCTGGCTTCAGACGCACCTCCACTCTGCCTTAGCGCGTGCGGCGCCTCCCCGCGTGTGTCCCGTCCAAACCCCCCTTCTACGAGGACGCTCTGAAGACCTCGTCCTCCCTGAATAACCCTCCTCGAGGTCCCGTGCCCTGACCCGCCGTGTTCCGAGGTGCGGGGGTAGGACGCCAGCACGTGAATTCTGGTGGGGACAGGCCAGCCCCTAACAAGGGCTTGCACCCACGTGCACTCATTTTGGGGGTCTTTTTTAATAAAACCAAATGCCCCCTCTCCTGTTGTGTGTCTGCCTCCACCGCTCCCCCGTTTCCTTTCTCCCGCCTAATTGCTGCCACTGCTGGGTGCAGATGGGGCCTCGGCTCAGCGATTCCCCAGAGCGGCAAAGCCCGCTCCCCGCAGTCGCTCCCGCAGGCGGCCCTGCCCGCGTTTGGAGAACAGCACGGCGGCCCGGTCCCAGGAGACGGGCGCCCGCCCCCCGGCAGTCTGGCGACGGAGAGCTCAAGCGTGCTCCCAGCGCCGCGGCTCGGGTTGTTGATTTTTCTTTCTAGCGGTGTGCAGGCTGGGGCCACTCCACTGGGTCCACTTACTCAGCCCACTGTTTTTATTTTTAACTAAACAGCTTTCCCAACAGGTGGGCCACTAATGACCCCTGGCAGAGCGCTTTCTGCTCCAGGACTTTTATCAGGCATGAAAACATCCTCCCCTCACGGGGTGCACCCCCCCGCCCGGGAAGCACACATGCTTCTGAGGGCGGTGCCGGGTACCCTGGGCTCGGCCTTTTGTTTTTCCTGTGCCTTTGTCGTTGGAGGGCCTTCTAGAAGCAGCCCTGGGGAGAGGGACCCACGGGTTCTGGCAGTGTGCGCCCCGCGGTGAGGGAAGCCAGTCGGCAGGGTGACTCGATGCAGAATTTGCTCGGCTCTGCTCAGAGCCTCCTTCCACAGCGAGGGCCTGTGAGGCGGGCACAGCTGTAAGGGGGTCATTGAGTTGTAGGTTCCGGGCAAACGCAGCTAAACCTTCTGAAAGTCTGTGGCAGAAACCCAGTGGGAGACTGACAGTTTCTAAAGCAGTCAGACCACGGTCAGGGCCACCTTCGCCTGAGGCGTAGACTAGGAGTCAGTGAAGAGAAAGCGCGAAAGCAAGGATTAACCCTGATTTCTCTTGACTTGCGTTAGGAGGTGTCCACATTTCTATCCCAACTTACGCTTTCGTTCTCTAAAGCTCAAGAGCCTGGTATATTCAGAGGCCTCACCAAAAAAACGTATCTCAGCACCTGGCTTTAATTCATGAACGTGGGAATTTAACCTGTTTGAAGGCATTTAAAAAAATTTAAAAGAATAGTTTATGCTCACTGTAGTCTCCTTATAATTTTAAGTAAAAATAAGACTATTTCGAAGCTAACTGTCTCAACAAACGGGTTCCCACATTACAGGTAACGACCACCTGCGTTTTCAGGGACCGTGAAGGCCACTGTCACTCAGAACGGGCCCTCACTGGACCCCTGCGGTCAGACCGCGTGTGGAAGGGTGGCTTCGTCGGTCAGCCCTGTGTGTCGGTCTGTGCTCGGGCTGCGGTCACAGTGCCACATAGCAGATACTGTTTGCCGTGGTCCGAGCTTTGGGCGCCAGGGGGTTGGCTCCTTCTGAGGCCCAGACGGCTGCGTTTCTTCTGGGCTTCTGTCTGTGTCCAGATGTCCCCTATGTACAAGGACGCCAGCCGCTGGACCAGGGCCCACCTGGTGACCTCGCTGTAACGTGACCCCGCGTCCAGACTCGGTCACATTCTGAGGTCCTGGGGTGAGGACTCCAACCCCTGAATTTTGGGGGACGCAGTTCAGCCCAGAACACCCAGCTTCACTTCTGCATGAGGACGGCAGGCTACCTTTAACAAGGGCCCATCGCCTCCTCTTTGGAGGCTTACTCGGCCACGGGGCGTCTGCGGGGACTCGGCTGTTCCTGGCGGTTTGCCGTGGGCGCAGACCAGATGAGTCTGACTGTGTAATCGGGACGCACGCCACTGTCTTTGTCTGTGTTCAGAGTTTTAGCGGTCATCGTGTGGTCCCGGGGATCTGCCCCCGTCACAGAGCTCCCCGGTGGGGGCGGGGTGGGGGCAGCGGGCGCCTAACATTCCTGTGAGCTCGGCGAGCAAACAAAACCCGCAGAGGCTCCCAGCTTCCCTCAGGAGGTGGGAAGCTAACCTTTCCCCCTGTTTTGGTTCCACATTGCAATGTGTTTCCTGGTCCCTTGTTCTGTTCCGCGAGGCCCTGTCAGCTGGTGCCCCGGGTCAGCTGGGGCCAGGGTCAAACGAGAGGTCAGGGCGTTGTACCCGCAGGCAGGGGTGGTCCCACCAGACTTCCTGCCCCACTCCTGCCCGCACCGAGGACGTCAGCAGGGTCTCCGCTGTGCAACCCCAGGGCCGCGTGTTGAACAATCTCCAGAATCTGGATGGAGGGTTTGTCACCCATCTGCCTTTCCTGTCACTGCCTGAGCTTTTAATTCCGTCCTCCCAGGGAAAGGAGCTTTTTAATGAAAAACGAGCAGCAGTAGCCTTTCCCGGGGACTTTGGATGCTCTGGGATCTTTTCCCCGTGGGGTCTTTCTTATCCATACGGCATTTATGGTGGCCCCTCTGTGCAGAGCATTCTGATAGGCCCACAGCAGTCAAAAATGATACCTAATTCTTACTGCAGTTGGAGAAATTATGTTGTTCGCGAAACTAACCACAGTATTTGATAAAACTTTATAGTTTTATGGTTTAAATTTCTTTTAGAGTTTAATAGAATGATACTTTTTGAAGCTTGAGAAATGCCCAGAAATCGCAGTGACATGGTAGAGCACCCCCAAAACCCAGAATCGTGAGCTTTCTATTTTAAGTCCCTTCAGAAAGGAGAGCGTTTCTGTGCTGATGATGTCCGTGGTAACAACCCACTTCCAGGTCAGGCTTGACCAGGCAGCTGATGCGTGTGCGGGGCGGGGGGGGGGGGGGCGTGGGGGAGGCTGCGTTTGCAGGGGCGGGGGGGGGCCGGGGAGGGCTGCGTGTGCAGAGGTGGGGGGGCCGGGGAGGACCGCGTGTGCTGGAGGTGGGGTGGGGGCTGGGGAGGGCCGTGTGTGCAGGGGCCGGGGGGGGCTGGGGAGGGCCGCGTGTGCAGGGGTGGGGGGGCCGGGGAGGACCGCGTGTGCAGGAGGTGGGGTGGGGGCTGGGGAGGGCCGTGTGTGCAGGGGCGGGGGGGGCCGGGGAGGGCTGCGTGTGCAGAGGTGGGGGGGCCGGGGAGGACCGCGTGTGCAGGAGGTGGGGTGGGGGCTGGGGAGGGCCGTGTGTGCAGGGGCGGGGGGGGCTGGGGAGGGCTGCGTGTGCAGGAGGCGGGGGGCTGGGGAGGGCCGCGTGTGCAGGGGTGGGGTGGGGGCTGGGGAGGGCTGCGTGTGCAGGGGCGGGGGGCTGGGGAGGGCCGCATGTGCAGGGGCGGGGGGGCTGGGGAGGGCTGTGTGTGCAGGAGGCGGGGGGCTGGGGAGGGCCGCATGTGCAGGGGCGGGGGGGCTGGGGAGGGCCGTGTGTGCAGGGGCGGGGGGGGCTGGGGAGGGCTGCGTGTGCAGGAGGCGGGGGGCTGGGGAGGGCCGCGTGTGCAGGGGCGGGGGGGCTGGAGAGGGCCGCGTGTGCAGGGGCGGGGGGGGCTGGGGAGGGCCGCGTGTGCAGGAGGTGGGGTGGGGGCTGGGGAGGGCCGCGTGTGCAGGGGTGGGGTGGGGGCTGGGGAGGGCCGCGTGTGCAGGGGCGGGGGGGCTGGGGAGGGCTGTGTGTGCAGGAGGCGGGGGGCTGGGGAGGGCCGCGTGTGCAGGGGTGGGGTGGGGGCTGGGGAGGGCCGCGTGTGCAGGGGTGGGGTGGGGGCTGGGGAGGGCCGCGTGTGCAGGGGCGGGGGGGCTGGGGAGGGCTGTGTGTGCAGGAGGCGGGGGGCTGGGGAGGGCCGCGTGTGCAGGGGTGGGGTGGGGGCTGGGGAGGGCCGCGTGTGCAGGGGTGGGGTGGGGGCTGGGGAGGGCCGCGTGTGCAGGGGCGGGGGGGCTGGGGAGGGCTGTGTGTGCAGGAGGCGGGGGGCTGGGGAGGGCCGCGTGTGCAGGGGTGGGGTGGGGGCTGGGGAGGGCCGTGTGTGTACTGCTTGCCACACAAGGACATGGTATGAGAGGTCTGAGCTTTGAGCAGCTTTTCAGAGACTTAGACATCTTCACATCTTGTGCAGCTTCTTTCTGGTTTCACGGAGTTCACAGCTGATACTTAGAGAAGGTGCTTTGTAGGAAGTCCTGACTTGTAGCTTGAAAGGTGAGCCTGACGATTGCAGCTCCGTCAGTCAATGCCGGCCGGCGGGTGGGTGGAGGCTGGGGAGGTTTCTGCTCGACCTCTCCGGTGCTTTTCCCAGGATGTGTGTGCAGGATGTGGCCCTAATTTCTCCTTTTGATGTGATGTTGTGAGTGTCTATTATTAGCCAAGAAAAGGAGAAAGGAACTCAAGTACTCGTGTGTTCCTGGAGAAGATAAATAATCTGAATCTTTACGGCTCTACGCTCAGGTTTTAAAGTCAAACCACTGAGATCTGAAACGTGGCTCATTTCATAGACTAATCTGATTGCAGGAGTTACCGCTCTGAGTCTGACCCGTGCCTGGCCTCGTCCTGCTTGCGTCCATCCTGTGTGCACAGGGGCTGGGCTGTGCTCGGGCGTCACGTGTCCCCAGGGGCCTTTTCGTGTCCCTAGTACTGAGATCTCCCAAACTGTGAGGAGCCCTGGCGGGGAGGAAGCATCCAGTGACACCAGGTGTCCGTGACCACAGACAAATCAGAAATGATTTCTGCTCAGACATTTTCCTCTGAGGAAAGTGTGTGTTAGGGGGTCGTGCCCCAGAGCCAAGTGTGCGTGGTCGGGCGTCGGCCCCAGAGAGTAACACCGAGTCAGGAGAC